ATTCTTTCATCCCTCTACCCATCCTTCCAGCCAGCCATACTAAATACTAACCACTGTGCCAAAAGCAGGAGGTACAAAAAAGAATATGACATCGTTCCAGCCCTTAAACAATTCCCAGCTCAATGAAGGAGACAAATAAAACCTTCTTTTTTCCCCCATTTCTTTCCTTTTTAATTTCTTTTCCTTAATATTATTCAATCTAACCTTATTTACCCAGTTCAGCTTAACTTACTGAGTCAGAAAAAAAGAAGACATTTTCTATATCCAAGTCTCTTAGAATTAAGTTCAACTGAAGTGTACAAATTCCTTGGTAATGGAGTCCAAGTATTGCCTCTGGATGACTCTAGGTCTTCAAGGCTTCTGGGGTCACTTTTTCATCTGATACTCAAACTAAGTTCCTAATAAACTGAGCTCCTATTCTTCATTCCATTGGGAAATCTGTCTCTCCTGATGTCTCCAAGTATTTTCACAAGGGCTACATTTCTCCTGATTTCCTTTTACTCTCCTATGTTTTTGAGCCTCACTGTGTATCTTGCCTCCATGGTTGATTGCTCCCCTCTTTTTGTCTTCCCATGGCCCAATACCTTCATCACTCAAAGCACCATCAATGCCAGGCTCTTGTACAACCACCTTTTACTGAAGGCATAACAGAGAAAGCATCATCTTAAAATTTGATACACTCCATCCATATCCCAAAGTTCCTTTGCTGCACCTGAACAGGGATTTCTCACTTGCTTGCCCCCTCCCACTATGGGCCTTTCCTCCTCCTTAGAGACCTTTCCCATTTCTTTCTCTCCAAATTTCAACTTTCTTCCAACTTCTCCACTTTTAAGCTGACAGAAGACAACTTCCAATTTCCTACCACGTTATTATGCAGACTATTTTGGTTCTCTGTTAACAGCCCTCTCATTCTAAACCATACCTACTAGTGACTTTAGACTTTATAAATAAAAAAAAAAAATGGCCTATGTAGCTTGTTTTTTAAAGGAAAACACTCATGTACTTCTGAGATGAATATCTCTCTCCCAGAATGTCAGTTTGTTTCTTTTTTTACACTCTTTTTATTTTCCTATTATACTATTATCACACTATGGCAGATTTACAAGGTCCGTAAAAGCTAAATATATACGGAACTATAAAAATTACAATGAAGAATAATGCAAATACAAAACCATGATGTGGTTCTTTAAATGATGCTAATAAAAATATTGATAAACTCAAGTTCCAAGTGACTTGTAAAAACAGACAACTTTTGATTTTCAAAGTGTTGTGTCTTAGAATCGTGTATATTTAGAGGCTGAGTTGCTTTGTTTACTCACCAATACTTGTGTAGAAGCCAGAATTATGTCACAACACACACACAAAGACACACATACACACACACACACAGGCACAAACGTCCTCTAATATAGGAGGTAGTGAACTATTTTTATTAAGGTTTAGGAAGATTCTACAAATGCTTGTAATTTAGAAACTTCTCCAATTCATTTAATAATGAGCTATCAACCTTGTATTATCAAGTTGAAAACACAGTGAAACAGTGTTTTTTGAACTTTAGTATGTATAGCAATCACCATGAATGTTGTTAAATGCAAATTACTTCTCCCCAAACAAAAGAATCTGTGTCTGATATCTGGTGTGGAGAGTGAGGAATTCACATTTGTGTAAGCTCTCCAGGTATGTTCTAATAAATATGACCAAACTCTTTTCCTAGGTATATGGGTGGGCAAAATGGGCAATTTAACAAGATGATTCATGTTACTTAAATTCCAACCCCCAAGTGTGGTGGTACCTTCTGACTCTGTTGACCTTTCTCTGACAGCATAATAACTCATTTAATGAACATAAACATCAGGTTCTAGTAGTTCTCATTGAGATACTAATGATATATTTTTAAAGTATACTAAAATATATATAATAATGATTTCTAGTGTTTACATAGTGCTTTAAATTAAAAACCACTTTAACATATATCTTTTTTTTTTTTTACTGCATTCCAAACAATGGGGCTGATACAATAATTTAAGATAAGTGAATTCTATAGCTCTCCCAATAGGCCAACAAGTCTAAAGGAGTACCACCAGCAACCAAACTGCTCTAAAGTCACCTTACAGCCTCATTTTAAAACCCAGGTAATATTTCTGGTTATTTAAAGCTCTTCAGAAAAAGAGGTTAACTTCGAAAAAGTCAGGGTCTCTGTGCTAGGTTGGGCTTTAATCATGACAATTCGTGCAAAAGAGGCAGATTTGGAAGACCTGCTGCTCCTGTGGTGTTTCAGTAAAGGCATCACTTGAGAAAGTGAGATTGAAAAAGTCCAGACTTTTTGTTAAAACTTCCTACTGTGCTATAGACCAGTCTCCCCTTTCCATCGGGTCAACCTTCATTTATCCCTCAAATTTCAGTCTGTAGTTATTTTGTCAGAGGTTTCTATGACCCCTCAGTCTTAAAATAAAGCCCCCTTTTTTTGATCCTTTCTATCCTTCATTGCATTTATCACAATTGTAATTATATAATTTTTGTGCGGTTAATTATTTAATGCTTGTGTCCCTAATAGATTGTGAATTATTCAAACACAGGCATTGTGTTTTGTTAACTACAGTTACATTAAAGCCCTCATCCTGTGGCCTGGCATAGATAGGCACCTGATTCATACTTGCTGAATGAATAAATGAAGAGTAGGAAAATGTCCGATCGGAAAAGATCCCAGTGTTTTGTGTTGACAAACAGCAAAATACACTAGAAAATTGTCTTTGTTGTATGAGAGGTAGTCTGGGAAGCTAGAACAGATTTTGGAAGAGCAATGCTGGGAAGTCCCAATCAATTCACTACATGAATGTAGGTGGACAGAGTTTGAGACTGCAAAGTTAGCTGAAAAAATGCTGACTGAAGAACACTAGAAGCATAAAATAAAATTGCAGCTTACTTTAACTGCCTAGTATTCTGTACCTGCCTCATAGATAGAATGTGTGCACTAAAACTTTTGACACTTAGTCTGAAATGCTGGAGACTAGAGTGTGGGGAGTCGCTTGGTGGGGGAGTCACTGTGTATACACCAGCAGGGCTCTAATGACAAAAAGAGATTTCAGGGGGAATCAGAAACAAAGGTGACTCTCAAATCTATAGATAAAATTGTGATCAGATTAAGAAGTAATGCATGAATCAAGGATAATTGATTCTTCCTCCAAAAGGTATCATCTTTTAAAGTATCTAGAAGGTCTTAGTGATCCTGTTACGACAAGTATTTGATTTTAACAGAACAGTATATTTATTTGCACAAAGAGAAAGCTGAGTGAAAACATGTTAACATCTTGCATTATGTCTGGGAAAGATATTAGTGAAACCATAATGTCAAAACCAAAGGAAATGGGAAGATACACATGGGGAAATAAGTTATAGCCATAAAAATGGCATGCTGTATAATACTATATGAACAATGTACTCACTGCTACACTGCACAGAAACAACTTCAGAATTTGAGGTGGTTCTTTAAGGCAGATAATCACCATCCTAAGATTTTTTTCATCCTTTTGTATATTGCTTACATTGAAACTGTACCAGGAAAAAATGAGGTAGTTTTCAATCTCTTCTTGAAACTTAGATCTTTTCAATGGCATGGTGAAGAATAGGTATTAGGGGACAGGTTTGGGATTTGGATACACCCTATTATTTCTGAAAAAGGGCTATCCTGCACTTGACTGATGACCTCTTGCTCCTAAATGATTAACTTAATTTGGATATTCAAGAGGCAATCTCTTGGTGCTCATTATGCGTGCTAAATCTGAGAGCATTAGCAGAGAGCACTAGGAATCTGCTGGCTTCTTTGGAAGCCTCTGGTACTGTCTGCAACAGTACCATTCACTCAAACTGGGTGTTAAGTTTTCAGATCTTGAATATTAAGAAGTATGCGACCCCAAGATAAATAAATTTTTCAACATATTTGTGTTCAACATGCAAGAGTTTGGTAGTTGACAAAACAATTGGGGGCGAAACTTGTCAGGTTAGTGTCTTAATTCTATCACTTTGTGTCTTATGACTTGGAAAAGTAGCTTAATTTCTGTGTGAATATTGCAGAACTGTAAAATATGGTAGTCATAACGCTGTTATGAGTATTGATATGAGTTAATTATGTAATTTGCTTTTATGAGTGTCTGGTACTAGTAAGAACTATGTAAGTGAGAGCTTTTATTATTCTGTATTAGTAGAAGTGTGTATTCACATATTATTGACTGAAGAAATGAAGTAAAAACTTGAATAAAAAAGAAACCCTGCAGTTTTATAGCATGTTCCTCTAACCCTTGGAGTTCTTTTTCAGGTGAGAAAGAAAACTGTCTTTTAATTTGTTCCTTAACTCTGTTTCTCTGTCTTCAGGCTTGTTGCCTATTCTTCATCTCTAGATTTTCTTTTGGACAAGTCTCCACCTTAAGTTGATACAATTTAACTGTAACATAACTCAAAAAAATTTTTTTTATGTTCATACCTCATAACTTGAACATTTTATTTATGGTTAAAAACCTACAGTTAAATGCATGTGGCTTCCAAATTTTCATCAGTGTGGACTGCACCTTATATTTATAGATGTAAAACATGATCTAATACATGTAGGATCAGAAACAGTATCTGGAGGCACTGTGTACATTTATTATTTTTTTTCTCAGTCTATTGCCCTTTTACATTGTTTTGGATTGATTTTTATGCTCTCTTAACAGGTATATTTTCTTATTCAAAAGAGTCAAGAAATTATTTTCCAACATAAAGCAAAAGGTTTTACCTATATAAGCAGAAAACAGAACTTGAAACACATTATGTGTGCAACTCTAATTAATGATACCTACGCATCTCTTCTTTCACTTGAATGACATCCCAAGCAAAATTTCCAAATATGCTTTTATTTATTTTTTTCATCTGCAGGGATCGATGCTCTTAGATTTGGATCAAAGTATACTATAGTTCAGATCACTCTCTCTTTGTTTCTTTTTCTATTTCTTCTTTTCCCCCTACAGTTTATTGCTTTTGCTTCTTTATTCTTCATCCTGGTTTCAATCACAACCTTTTGCCTGGAGACACATGAAGCTTTCAATATTGTTAAAAACAAGACAGAACCAGTCATCAATGGCACAAGTGTTGTTCTGCAATATGAAATCGAAACGGATCCTGCCTTGACGTATGTAGAAGGAGTGTGTGTGGTGTGGTTTACTTTTGAATTTTTAGTCCGTATCGTTTTTTCCCCTAATAAACTTGAATTCATCAAAAATCTCTTGAATATCATTGACTTTGTGGCCATCCTACCCTTCTACTTAGAGGTGGGACTCAGTGGGCTGTCATCCAAAGCTGCTAAAGATGTACTTGGCTTCCTCAGGGTGGTAAGATTTGTGAGGATCCTGAGAATCTTCAAGCTCACCCGCCATTTTGTAGGTCTGAGGGTGCTTGGACACACTCTTCGAGCTAGTACTAATGAATTTTTGCTGCTGATAATCTTCCTGGCTCTAGGAGTTTTGATATTTGCTACCATGATCTACTATGCCGAGAGAGTAGGAGCTCAACCTAACGACCCTTCAGCTAGTGAGCACACGCAGTTTAAAAACATTCCAATTGGCTTCTGGTGGGCTGTAGTGACCATGACTACCTTGGGCTATGGGGATATGTACCCCCAAACATGGTCAGGGATGCTGGTGGGAGCCCTGTGTGCTTTGGCTGGAGTGCTCACAATAGCCATGCCGGTGCCTGTCATTGTCAACAACTTTGGAATGTACTACTCCTTGGCAATGGCGAAGCAGAAACTTCCAAGAAAAAGAAAGAAGCACATCCCTCCTGCCCCTCAGGCAAGCTCACCTACTTTTTGCAAGACAGAATTAAATATGGCCTGCAACAGCACACAGGGTGACACGTGTCTGGGCAAAGACAATCGGCTTCTGGAACATAACAGATCAGGTAAGGCACAATTTCAAATGCATGCCACGAAACACTTTATAGACCAGTATGTCCCTCAGGTAGAAGGCAACCATTTTCATTGTCTGCAAATGTTCCTGAGTTTTCAGTTCTATCCCTTCACAGTACATGTGTTTGTGTCAGGCTTATAGACAGCTAGACTGTAGCTTTTCTCAGTAAGATTCCAAGTAGAAGCCTGCATAGCTGGTCTATAGAGTTTTCCTGCTTTAGTGGGAATGCCCTTTGCTGATGGTGCCAATATTTTCTTTTGCCTGTTTGTTGCTTTGTGCCAATGTTTCTTTGTTTCCCTGCACGATGTGATGGTATGATACTGACCATTTTCCATCTCTCATTCTCAAAATGTTGATTTCCTTATCATTTGGCTTGGTGTGTTTGTCTCAGTTTTATCTCTGCCACATGGGGCCATGCATCTCAACCTATTTCACAAGAAGCAGTTACTTAAAAAGAATGGATGCTTATATTTCAATAGCCTGAACACCAAAAAGGTGATATGGAAGATAGCCTTTTTGATAATGAAAGTCATCCCTAGCAATTTTCTAGAGGATTGATTAAATTTTCATTATTAACTTAGGATATTCAGTATAATACCTTTAGATTGGGTAATATAATAAATTCACCATTATCCTAGAGGTAGATGATCTGCTTTGTCTTATCAATGGCAAAGTTGAACTTCCCAGTGGATTTCCTTTTTTACACACAATGCATTGGGCTCTGTTCTCCTCCCAAACTGAATTTTGGGTGATGTACTGCTGAATCCCTACCCCTCTCCATTGCCATAGTTAATCTGGAGGACACTGACTGTAAATTAATGTTCGTTTTGCCACAATGATAGTCAGTAATGTGCTCTCTACTCTATTGTGTCTGGTATAGATGAAATATTTTATAGATTGAACAATTTAATTACCTTTCAGTCCACTCTGAAAATTTAAGATATGTGCATTCCCTATAACGTAGATATATTTAATCTTTTTCTTGTAGAAAAATGATTTATGATAATCCCATGTGAATACTTTCACATGATTTTGAAATAACACCAATTACACAAAGCAAGCAAACAAACAAACAAAAAAGGCAGGTAACATTTTCATAGGTTCCTTCATTAGCTTCCAGAAGTTTATACAAAGTAAATGGGGAAAAAATGTGGCTGGAACTAAACTGCTTTTTAAAGATTTTATTCATAAAGATCCCTATGCTTACTTAGTACATTGTTCTGCAAATTCTGTCAATATATCTGAAAACTATAAGGCAAAGAATGTCTTTATGAAAGCTAGAGTTTAGTTGGTGTTGCTAGTCTCATGGCACGGTTCTCAGAGTACCTGTGCCCAGTCCTTAAGAAGGGCACGAGAAACAGGACACACTCTCAGCCTGGGTAAATAAATATTGTTATAACAAGCTAGCATCTAGGCCAATAGGATGCAAACGTCTTTGGCAAGCATATAGAAGTAAACAGTTGTTTCAAGGGCATTTGGAGAAGTTAATCTATTCCACTGTTATGCTCAAAAACATTTTTCACTTCAGAATGGAGACCCTGGACACAAAGTGAGTTTTGGGATTATTTTTATTAAGATTTTTTTAGAAAGTTGTTTTCTGCAAGTATTATAAGCATGTGTCTTAACGAACTCCAAAACTAAGTATGTACCCAGGGGTTTTTCCTTAAATAGGCTCCACTTTTAAAGATTCTTATTCACAATAACTAGATAGCATGTCAAAAGTCATAAGATATTAATGTGTGTGCTATGTCATTATCACACTTATTTTGAATTTATATTAGTTCTGTGAAAGTCCATTTCCTATTAAGTAGAATCCAAAATGGAATTAAAACTTCCCAAAGAACACTTCTCTCCTTCTCAACACATTTCCATTTTGCTCCATGTAAATTTTTGTAATGAGTGATGAAAACCCTTTTTCTTATCATGATGTGATTATTGTGTTTTGTATATCGAGTGACTGTACTATGGACATTCCGTGTAAACTCTTTGTACTGTCTCATTTCCTCATCCATCACTGTCTGTCAATGGGCATGGTGCTGTGACCAGTGTTATCAGGTGACGACAGTACAGGAAGTGAGCCGCCATTATCACCCCCAGAAAGGCTCCCCATCAGACGCTCTAGTACCAGAGACAAAAACAGAAGAGGGGAAACATGTTTCCTACTGACGACAGGTGATTACACGTGTGCTTCTGATGGAGGGATCAGGAAAGGTAGGCATGCATTTAATCAGATCCTAATAGGTGACTTAGAAATTAAGTGCTACAAATATACGGAGTGATATAAATGCTTTTTCGTCATTTTCTAGGAAAGCCTGCACGCAATGTTCTCTTGCATTCCTCATCATCTCTTTTCTCATTATAAACATTAAAGTGCGTATCATAACAGCCTACTTGATTGTCCTATCTGAAAGGCATTTCACCCTTCTTTCTTTCTTTATAGTTTTGGTTTCCATTAGTCTATGGGAAGAATTGTAATGGGGTATTTAAAAATCAAGTCACTCAGCTAATTTCCTTAATATAATGTACTCAACAGTCCTTAAAAGTTATCTTTTTAACTACAGGTAATAAAACTCACTAATTGATTCTATGCATATATTTGATAAGTAATTGATAAAACAATAAGGCTTTTTTCCCCCCAAAGAAAAGTTTTAAACACACTGTAATTAAGTCTCTTATCCAGTATTTGCACAGTTTTTGCCATGAATTATCCGAATGTCAGAAGGCCAAAAAGGTCCAACATCCCAGCCATATAGAATAGTATACCCCATAACTCGGAAAGCTACTTCTGTACTTATAAATTGTGCTACAGAATTTCTTTTTGAGGCAGTAATAGTACTTTTAAGTTTATTACTGTTTTCAACCCACACTAAACTGTGCCTGGCATGCAGAAGACACTAAATGTTTGTTGAATGAATAAATTTTGTTGGGTAGGCATCCTCGTTAAGAAATATAACAGAATATTGAATCTCCACTCCATCATGTCCTTCCAATTTTCTAGACAATGCCACCGTCTATGACTATTCCCTAGGTACTATTTTTTTGTTTTTGTTTTATGTAAACTTGACAGATCTCAGGACAATTGGACCCTTTTTTCCCTCCTTTAGAAACTTTGTGACATCTATTACCCACCCTTGTCCAAGGGCTGATATGCTCTTTGATTACCTCCTACTTTGATAATTCCAGTTGCTTCATTGCCATGGTTCTCTTTCTCTGCTTATAGACCAAATAGAGAAAGAACTATAATAATTTCTTATGCAATGGGCTGAATTTTAATGAAAAGCCACTGTGAAACTTTCATATTAGTGCAACTGCATTAAAAATACTGCACTTTTTTTGCTGTTCATTGAAGTTTCTCCCTATTGAATACTTTAACATTTTAAGCCTTAAATATTTATTTTGTGATGTCTTCTCTCTTTGAAATGTCTCATTACCCATATTGTACTTCTCTTTCATTGCTTCTGAACACTTTGTATTGTCCTTTCTGTCTCCATGCCTTTGAGTCTCAAAAGAGAAGACAGACTCTTCTTTTATTTCTTTTGTATGTAATATTTTACATACTTCATTTCAATGACTTCCGTTCCTCAGCATCTATTATTTGCACAAAATGTATTTCAATGATCTGAATAGTTTTATTTGTTTTTTTGCTATTTTACATTTAAATATTAAGTGCTAGAACAATTTTTAAAATACTTTATGAAGATAGTTAATGTCCTATCATAGTACTTAAACAAAATATATATACATATATAAATAATGATTATAATATGTAATTTTTTAATTTAATATAATGTAACTACAGGTAATAAAACTCACTAATTGATTCTATGCATATATTTGATAAGTAATTGATACAAGAAATAATTTCTTGTATAGAACATTATATTTTAAGTACATTACATATCTTTACTCACTATATGTATATATACATATATGTGTATATATGTATATATGTATTTATATGTAATATGTGGTTACATTCACATACATTTTTGAGCATCACTTGATAAATTATCACATGCAATATTTATACTAACGCTGCATGTTTAAGAACTTAGCTAAAATTTTTTCCTTCCACTCTTAGACAATACTTTGGATTTTAAACTGTCAAAGGTGATCACATAAGAAAAAATACTTTGTAAATTATTAAGCACTATGTAAATATAGAATTTTTCTGTAAAATGGCAACGTTTCATGAGCAAAGCAATTAATAAGATATTTAGTTTCTATAGAAAAGTTATACATGAAATCTTATTCCACAATGCAAAATTCTCTTTATCGATGAGCACATCTTTGAAAATTCATCTATGGGCTTTTAATCTTTGTCATTTCTCACCATAATCAAATTTCTTTTTCATTCTTGCTTAATTTCTTTACACCTTGTGTTTTTTCTCCCAGGCCTTGTAGCATTTTTGGTTAATTTCACTTAATTTTCTTAGTGTGTTGTCTTGTTATGTTTATCAGGAACCCATTCATTTCTTCTCTTGTTCCTTTTTATGTAGATTATAGATTTCTCCTATTATTCTTATTCATTTATTTCCTATATGATACCTTTTTTATCTTTCAAGTTGGTCTCTCTACTGATTTGATCTTTAGAGTTCTGAAAATTCTCCCCTATATAGATGAAAAGAAATTACCAGATTCCCGCTGAATTCTTTTTCTATCAACAAATATGAATACAGTTGGGCATACATTAATAAAATTTATGGATTCCCCATGAGAGTGAACTCCCAATACTTGGAACCTGTGTTTTTATTTATGGAGTAGTTTTTAGGAAATCATCTTTCATACACAAAAACATACCCACTGATAGTGCATGGATAAGCAGTTTCAGCATTGCCCCAAATAAGCACATGCTCTCTGCACCATGTATTTGGATGTTAATTCCAACTAGGTTCAATATTGTTTATTCTCATAAATTATATTTTTAACCATTCCACTCAATAAAAGCTTGCTTAAGCAAAAACTTTATCAAATTTTCTGTCACAAATGAACTTGCAGAATAAAAAAAATACATACTTAAAAGAATAACTTATAATTTTACTAATTAAATACTTATTAAATTAGAAGGGAAGTCTTTTCAAATGAACACTGAAATTATAATTATTAAAAATAAAAGGACTTATAAACAGAATGGGTAATATTTATGTTGAAAACTGTAATTCAGAAAAATAATTGAACATTTAGAATGGCAACCAAGATTTACATATAACTAGTATAATTAATAGAAAACTGTCAAGAAAACTTTTACCTTTTGGAGGTCCTGTCAGGAGCTTGGAGGTTGTGGGAGACAAAATGTAAATTTTTATAAGGGATGAATGACTTATAGGTGTTAACAACCTCTCTGGTTCATGCATATTCACCAGTTTGCTTTTAATCAAACCAAATCAATGTTTATAGTGTAGTTTGCATTTTTAGATTACATGGTCAACTAGGATAAATCTTCCTATAATTCCCCAAGTTATATTTCCAATCACTTTAGAGAAGAGCAGTAACAACAGCTCTCCAGGCACACGGAGGTCCCTATGTAAAGATAAATTTCTGAAATTCTTTTTTAATTACTTAAGACATCGTCTTATTAAGTATTCCATCATCCACTGGAATAGGATGAAACATACATCACCTCCTGGGTTTTATATCTCCGAATGCTAACAAAACACATTGGCAGATAATTCTCTCGTTAGCAGAAATTATGTCCTAGAGAACCTTACCATGGTTAATGGATGGCACAAATTTCCATCAACAAAAATCTCAGAGAGGACATCAAGCATGCTGAAAGTTTATGTGTGTGTATGGGGAGGGATGTTCCTATTCAGTGCAGCTTCACCCCACAGTAGAGCAATTACTGCAACCCATGTCCATCCTGGTTCCTGGGCCCTGATAATTCAAATAATCACTAATTTGCTTAATTTCTCCTTTTCTAGTGAAAGGAGGAGAGATAGTATTAGCTTCTTCCCCAGAAGTCCATGAAAATATAGAATTAGAAAAAGAAGTCGTTGAGAGGAACACGGGGAAGCACAAAAGGCCCATTTTCTTTCTCAGATAGTCATCATGCACACTGAGGACCACTTGGAGCCCAAGGAATGTGCCCTAAGTCTAAGGGATAACAAAGTTTGCTGAACTTGGATGTCCTTGCTCAGCTTTAACTGCCCAACAGAGAATTTCATTTCCTCGTTCTACAACCCTTTTTTTCAGTGGGCCTGTCAGAACATTTATTTCCTGGCTACTTTCTCAGTCAATGGTTGTCCTGCTCTTAAGACAGTTCACGTCTAACTTTGCAGTGTGCCATCCACCCCACTTAACCACTCTAATCTTTTCTAATAAATAGTACTACAATATATGAGTCCTTCCAAAGGTGACCTTGATGAGGATGTTGCTTGAGTGGCTAAGGAAAACCACTGGGGGTTAAAGCTTGTGAGATGGATCTTTTATTCTGTAAATCCATGACTATCACACACAAATGATTAGAATGCGAGATGATAGAAAGAAAAAGTGAATCAAGATCAAATGGTTCTCAATTCCTGGCAGTGGAGAGCCAACTGAAGACATCAGATAACCAAGTTCAGACTCTAATTCACTGAATTATGACTCAACTTATATTTCATTTCATTTCTTTTTTTCTTTCCTTTTTTTTTATCCAAGGAACTAGAAATGGGCATTCATTCCACATTGCCTAGATAATGGCATCCAATGCCATTATTTGAGAATCATCCTTTTAACACTATAAAGCTGGCAGATTAAATATGCTTGAGAAAAAAAGCCATCCACTTAAAAGTTAATCCTGCTTGTTAGCTTAGTAAATAACAAAAAAAGAAAAGAAAAAATAGCCCACTTGTTTTTTTTCAGAAGCATATTCTGAAATGTAAAAATATTAGCCAAGTTTATATCTTACTTAAGTTGCTTTGCCTAATTCTTAAAAGATTTCTAGTATTTTATGTGCCAAAATGACATCAATGCAAAATATAATTTGGGAAAGAATAAATTTTGAAGTAGTACAACTATAATTTGTGATAGCTGGTTTAATCTTTTGGGAATGACAGCGCTAGTGAGCTTTATTGTTTTTTTTAAGTTACAAATGGTCTCAATATTGAATTCTTTGTAAAAAAAAAAAAAAAAGATTCTTCCTTGAACTCAAAATAGCACTTTTGATTATCCTGCATGGTATTGTTTGTCTATGTTTATTTTCTGGTTGAATTCAACTGACGTCTGTGCATTTTTTCATAAAAGGATATGAAAAATCCCGAAGCTTAAACAACATAGCGGGCTTGGCAGGCAATGCTCTGAGGCTCTCTCCAGTAACATCACCCTACAACTCTCCTTGTCCTCTGAGGCGCTCTCGATCTCCCATCCCATCTATTTTGTAAACCAAACTGCATCAGTCGGCTAAATTGTATGACTTCAAGTACTGTCTACCCCATAATGGAGATAATTAAATGTAGAGTTACTCCAGGCTCCATTAAATACAGTTTAAATCCTGCATGATACTACTATTTGAAGTCAGAAATGCCACTTGGGTAGCTAACAAATCTTATCCTGGCTTTAAAGATTACCTAAAGTAGTGCTACTTCTCCATGTTAATCGCTCTGGTCTCCTTTCGCAATAAAATGACAGATAGTGTCAGCTATTGGCCAGTACACTAATACAGAAACATATCTTCAGGGAGATACATTTAGAACAGTGTGCTTCCTAATGCCAATCACTTCATTGGACCTTCATTTCTCGTGACTCTTAACCATTTTGAAGATGTTTGGGATCCTCTCTTGATTGCACACGACATGACTCTGGTCAGCTCATTTGCATGGACCATCTTGTCTCTATCACCTGAAAGCAATGTCACAGAGTCCGGGGACCGTGGATGGCTCAGGATATGTGTACTTGCATCGCACCATCCTGCTGATATGAAAGCCCTGGTCAACTGTTCTGCACGTGGAATTGTGGGGCAGGGAGGGCGAGTGTCTCCTTGGCATTTTTTTTTTTTCCCTTATTCTTTGAAAGAAATATTTGTCTTAACTAGTTTAATTTCTTGATTGATTTGCTTTTCTTCAAAAATGCTGTATTGGAGTTCTGAATGTCTCTGGTTGTTTGCACACAGATAACTGCAAAGAGGTTGTCATTACTGGTTACACGCAAGCTGAGGCCAGAGCTCTTACTTAATGGCTTGGGGAAGGCACAAAACATGAGAGAAAGGTAACTGCCGGCCAGGCTTGCATTGTTTAGCCACGAACTGCTGCTTGGTACTAGAGTCATATATATATATATACATATATATATATCCGTATATATGTATATATATATATTTTTAATCCCAGGATTTGTCATCATTTTCAGAGGCAAAATGCCAAATATCACCCAAAGCTCTCGTGTCCCCCTTTTTTTTACCCCCTTCCTTTATTCTTATTTATTGATTTTTGTGCAAACATCAAAGATTATCATGGTTCACAGGAGGCTTTTTTTGACCAGCTTTAAATTTCTGACTCACAGGATTGATCAGATTTTCAGGCAGTGTTTAACCAGGTGCTTTTGTCCTGTATGTTGTTCTGTCTGTCTGTCTTAGCTCCCTGTCTTAAATGTATATGCCATCCGTCTTCATGTAGCACAGAAATGCCTTGATAAGATGTTCATGATTTTAGTCCTGGGTCCTCTCCCCTGCCCCTGCCTTCTCCACTCTTTGGAACAGCCTCTCTGCTTTGTGTACAAATGAATGACGCCCTGTAGACTACCTAAGTTAATTGGTACTGTGAACCTTTTTTGATAAGCAGGATTTAAGCAGCAGTGTCACCATCACATTGGTTGCTTGCTGCACTGTCAGTTTCTACTATCTAGCAACCAGCATTCATCACTACACTCCAGCAAAACCACGAGGGAGTTTTATTCAGTCAAAGTGGAAGAAATTCTGTTTACAACATCCCTGTGAATGCGCTTGGGATACTGTATCTGGTGTATTGGGTGCGTGAGGGAAGAAAAATGCCATAATATAAATTGAGGGATAAACAATATTTCTAAGGCATTCAGGATCCTTGAGACTGTTGATTAATTCTTAATTCTCATGTTTATTTTTTTTTTTTGTTAGGAAGACAAATGTCATTTTTATTATTGGCCACATAACACCTATTACTCTCTATCCCTAAGTCCTAAAGCATGAACTGCATGTCAGAGATCTTGTACAGCAACGGATTTACCCAGACGTACACATCTGATATTTAGAGATTCGGTGATCCTTTTAATAAGACCACACTTAGGAAGTTATAATGACATATGGCGTTGTGGTAAAGGAATTAATATACTGTCTGGTGCTGCTGTTATTGACTACAGTGTTGTACAGAATCTGTCATGGATTTCTGACTGCTGAAAAAGGGACAATGGGATTTAGCCACACCAAGGACTGTACCGGAAACAGACTTCTGCTGCTGAATGTGCCCTGATGCGACCAGGTAGCACTTGGAAGAGGTCCCTGCGTCTTCGCAAGGCATTTAAAGCTAGAAAAAAACTGTGGCTGGAACTCATTTGGTGCTCCCCATATGAGTGGTCTGCTGTGGACTGGCCAGTAGCTGTGAAACAATTGTAAACACCAACACGTGGGCATGGGTGGATAGCGTCAGCCATCTCACATCCAAGGACACCAAGTCCATGACCAACATCTCTGAAGCTTCGAGTAAGGCCCGTACCTCTGTGAATTGCCCCTCTCGGGCCTGCAGTAGATCGTGCTGTGAATCACACAAGGCAGTGATATTGGTGTAGTACAGACGTGTCCTAATTTCCCTTCTTTCTCCTTTGTTGTTTGGATCCATGAACATTGACGGTATCTTTTTTTTTTTATATAAACCACTTATGTTATCAGCTTGTCTTTGTTGTGAAATTTTCAGTGCCTATTTATCAAAACTGACCTGTTTTTTGTCACATGTATGTTTAGTTCTGGAAAATCATTATGACTTTAAGAAAAAACTCACCAACATTATTCATGGTTTAAGTCCTTTGTCATTGTTACCTCAATTATAAATATTACAGAAAATAAAATTCTGGTGATGAGAGTATTTTTTTATTAAATGATCAAGGAGTAATGTCAGTATATAGTAGAGTATTAATCAAATTATATCCTAAAATGTATATTTTGCATAAAAGAGATATTCTTCAATCAATTACTTTTTTGTGAGTTTTGTGGCAAACGAAACTTGTACTTGTCTTTAAAATTGTTGTAGTCGAAACTGTGTAAGAATTCTTCATCTTGCTTAATCAATATTTCCAGAATCGATTAGTTCCCCTGGGATTCTGAATATAACATATAACCTAATTATGAACCTCTGTATCGTGGACCTTTTGTGAACATTTCAAGGTGCATGCACAACCTTGGCGATAACAGATGGATATGTAACTAACTAAAATGAAGAATAAAAGGCAAATAAGCTGGGGATGATCTTGACTCCTATCTGATTAAATTATTCATATTCTTTTCTTGGCTCTTCTCTTTGTTTTGGAATTTTCAACAGGCTGTACTCTTTTTATGTTTCATGGTACCAAACCAGCCAGTCACACATAATACAAGGAATTTGGGATGAAAGGATTTATACATGTACAGAAGTCCCTCTTTCATTCAAGTCTTGGGCATGTAGCCAGTGTTTTCCTCTTCTAAGTGCTTTGCCTGCCTAAATTTCTCTTATAATTCTGAGATGGAAAATTATTAATTATGTTGCTCTCCAATATTTATATGGTACTTTATGACTGATACTGAATTTTCACTCATACTTTCCAGCTTAATCATCACAGCACTTCTGGAAGTCAATGTGTTTTATTTTCATTTTATTGACGGTGAAGCTAAGGATCAGAGAGGCAGAACTGTTTACTTATATTTTTGCCACAGATACTCTTCTCTGCCATAATTTCTTACGGTTTTAATATTTACTGAGCCTCTTGTAAATGCCTTATCTTCTAAAGATGGCTTCGGTCTCAATATTGGGTAATGGACCTCTGTTTTGGCAGCACACCACACATAGCTAACATTCCATTATATTGGGGGGTTATGTGTAAATTTACCCTGTAAAATCTATGAAACTATCAGGATTAGGGAAAGGGTAAAATGAAAAAGAGAAATCAGGTTGGCAAATCCAACACTTTCTTATTATGCACCAATAGAATCTTTCCTACATCTAAAAATGCTCAGTGTTGATTATTAAAAGTCTGTTAAGAAACTGAGTTCATAAAAGGGAATACGTCTAGATATAATTACTGATAAAATGTTTTTAATGATGGTGTCAGAATGCAAAATTTACTGTAAAGAGGAAAAATGCACAAGAAGGGGGAAAGAATGCATTTTAATAGATGATAATTACCATCAAATTTTGATTAAAAAAATCAAGATTAAATAGTCATGAATGAAAAGTGAAAATACTCACTTCATCTTTCAAATAAATCACAAAACAGACTAATGGAATAGCAATAGTGAACTTATCTTGGAAAGAGACAATGAATATGTTAAAAGGCTATATTACAAAGCCAGGCCTCTGGAGGATTTATAGCGTGCTTGAAGACATTTAGAGCTAAATGAATCTATTCATTTATGATGATGATGATTAAAATATGCGGCTTAAAATTTTTCCTTACTGACAAAAAGTGTCTCCCTTCCAGTTTCCCCTGACAAAATTCAATTAATTGTTTAAATTCTTGATTATTAAACTATAGATATATATTAGTTTTCTCTAACATGGATTCAGTATCATTAATATTGATCCTAAATTTAATAATTTCCTGTTCTCCCCTAAACTGTTTCAAGAATATTTTTTTCATTATTGTCTAAAAATTAAGTAATTGTATTGAATAAGTATTACTTGATTTTTTTTCTTTAATTATCATACTGTCATTCAAAGTGATGGACCACTGAATGTGCGTTTTTAAAAAGATTTATTTATTTAAGAGAAAGCAGACATGCATGAGAGCAGGGGAGGAGGGGCAGCAGGAGAGGGAGAGGGAGAACCTCTAGCAGACTGCCTGTTGAGCACAGAGCCCGATATGGGGCTCCTGGTGGGGTTCCATCCCACAACGGCCAGACCATGACCCAAGAAATCGAGTCGGACTCTGAACTGACTGAGCCACCCAGGAGCCCCTGAATATGTGTTTTGAACAGCAAGATCTTCAAAGACTATGGCGACCTCATCCACAATCCCGCATAAACTAATTTTATAAAAAAAATAGATTATTTTTTAGAGCAGTTTTAGGTTCACAGCAAAATTGAGCAGAGAGCAGAGAGAGTTCCCATTTTCCCCTTGACCCCACACATGCACAACCTCCCTTATTGTCAGTGTCCCACACCATAGTCATATATTCGCTACAATCTGTGAACCTACGAAGACATATCATTATCACCCCAAGTCCTTAGTGTACATAAAGGTTCACTCTTGGTGTTATATGTTCTATAGATTTGTTAAACGTGTAATGACATGTATCCAGAACTGTAGTACCATAAAGAGGAGTTTCACTGCCCTAAAAATCCTCTGTGCCCATCCCATCTTTCCCCTTAACCCTTGGCAGTCACTGATCTTTTACTGTCTCCATAGTTTTGCTTTGCCAGAATGTCGTGTAGTTGGGATCCTACTATATGTAGTCTTTTCAGATTGACTTGTTTCACTTAGTAATATGCATTTAATGTTTCTCCTTGCCTTTTCATGGCCTGGTAGCTCATTTCTTTTTAGTGCTGAAGAATATTCCATTTTTTTAATGTATCCCAGTTTATCCAGTCGCCTACTGAAAGGCATCTTGGTTGCTTCCAGGTTTTGACAATCATAAATAAAGCTGCTGTAAACATCTGTGTAAGGTTTTTGTGTAGATGGAAGTTTGCGATTCATTGGCTAAATACCAAGAGCACAGTTACTGAATCATATGGTAAGAGTATGTTAGCTTATACTCATTTTTTCATTTGGACCTCTTACATCGTCAGCAAAACTACAGTTCTAATCCATCTTTTCAGTGCCAATCATGTGCACCACATGGATTACTTATAAATTTGCTGTTCATTTCCAGATGTAAATATATTGGTTGATTATTCACCAGCAGATTCTTTCTCTTTAAAAATACAATTTTGGGGGGAGAGGGGGGTGCCCGGCTGGCTTATCGGTTAAACCTCTGCCTTCAGCTCAGGTCATGATCCCAGGGTCCTGGAATCCAGCCCAGCTTTGGGCTCCGTGCTTAGCCGAGAGCCTGATTCTCCCTCTCCCTCCCTGCTCATGCTCTCTTTTGCTATCTCACTCTCTCTCTCCAATAAATAAATGAAATCTTTAAAAATACAAGTTTTAAATAAAATACAGGAAAAGTTTCTATAAAATAAAAAAAGAAAAAAGTTAACTATAATTCCATAATTTTCTACTCCACAAACTAAATAGTTTCATTTTGTCGATTTGCCTTTTTTCCTTTTTTTATCCTCATTTTATAATTTTAGCGTACTGTGGAAGTGTGTGTATATATGTGTGTATTTATTTATTTATTTATTTTTTTAATTTAAATAAAGATTTTATTTATTTATTTGAGAGAGAGAGAATGAGAGATAGAGAGCATGAGAGGGAAGAGGGTCAGAGGGAGAAGCAGACTCCCCGCTGAGCAGGGAGCCCGATGCGGGACTCGATCCCGGGACTCCAGGATCATGACCTGAGCCGAAGGCAGTCGCTTAACCAACTGAGCCACCCAGGCGCCCTATATGTGTGTATTTAACCTGTCATTTCAGTCATGCTTCAGTTTGGCCTTTTAGCTTTCTTGCCTCAGGTCGTTCTTCCTCATGGATGGTGTTCTAACTCTGCGCATGCTCAGGGAAGCGCCCCAGGGCCCCACGATGAGCACAACATCACCTCTGTCATTGAAGAACTCCCATCTAGTGTTTTGGTCCCTTGGCCTAAAGTAAGATAGATAGATATTTGAAATTACTATAAAGAATAACATTTTTCCTAAACATTTTGCACATAGGTATATTGTTTTAGCAATTAAAATGTGAAAAAGATGCATAATATCCCCTTAGGTTAATGTTCTATATATATTCATTCCCGTTCAGCTATTCATGATTTCTATTTCTTTTTCCTATTTTCTATTATAAATCAAGAAGCAGTGACCGTTTTGTGTATGTGCATTTTTATTTTATTTTTTGACAGGGAGGGCTTTTCTCAAAAATTATTCTCAAAATGGAATTATTGGCCTAAAGAGTGTGAAAAATTTCATGACCATACTTTAAAAACTACTTTCCCATAGTCATATAATGTTACATTTCATCAGCAACAAATGAAGCTGACATTATCAGGACAATTTTCTTAGCTGCATTACAATTTGAAAAAATTTTCTTTTGCTTAGAGTAATTTTATGTATATGATTAAATTAACATGAGTTGAACCATTATAGATTTTATAAATATCATGTCTCTACTTACCTTCCAGTTTAGCTAGTCATTTACTAGCAGGCCAGCCAAGTATCTTTATTAGGAAATTCTTTTTTTTTTTTTTCATTTTGGAGCCAGATTTCAAATTTGGAATAAAGTTTGATGTATTACTGTTTGTAAAATAATGCATATATATTGTAAACCCATAGAACTTGCGTCTTCATATTTCAATATATTTCTCATAGTAAAACAAATGAGGTAAGGATATTCCATGAAATTCAAAGTCAAGTAACTTTTTTAGGGGGAATGAATTTTCCTATAAGCCAGGAAGAGTTGTCACAGCAAAATGATTTAAATACTTGGGAATGAAGTGAAATTTTCACATTTTTATTAAGAGTCAATAGTGACGTGAAATGGCTAAAAATACCACCATATGAAAAAGATTCTTTTTGAATGTGGCAGTTCCTGAAACCTTTCTTTAACCAATGGTCTCCGGGTTACATAACTAAGAGGTTACATAAAACCAATTCTTTCTTAATGGCCCAAAGAAGCTATATTAAGATGTGCTTAATTTGCTGAACAAAACCAAACCAAACCAAACAAAACCTGTAACTTCAATGCAAAGGATTCAGCATGAAGTCTGTAGCTAAGGAATTACTGTGTATGTATATGTATTTTCCTCGAGAGCTCACATTTGTCATTAACGGTTTCTCTGGAAACAAGGGCGCTAGTTTAAATGCTCTACATGATCTTCCTTCTTGTTGCAGTCACTGTTTCTTCTCACTTTGGGTGCTGGCAAGAAGCTTAAAAAAAAAATTATAGGAATTCTGGAAGGATGCTGGTAGAAATTTCCAGAATCTAAGATAGATAGTAATGATTAAAAAACACACTCATACACACAGCTGGATATACAAAGAGAAAGAAGAGGCATAAGATGAAGTAGCAAATACTGAATATGGCCTGAAGCCAAGGTCATTTAGTGTGAAATAAACAAAAAGACAAGTCAAAGATAAAGAAATAATTCTATAATTCTGCTTTACAAACCATGTTGGAATAAGTTCGTCACAAAAAAGCCAGACGTTCTTTTCAACGGAGACTTGAAA